GCTGAAGCGAGGCCTTCTGGAGGTAATGGCCCGGAGGAGCCAGGGTGTCGGGTGTCCCTCTCCCCAGCCCCATGTGTTGCTTTCCTGTCCTGAGACCTAGACAGCTGGCAGAGCAAGACCAGATCTCGTTGTCGTAAAATGCCAGTGCAGATCGCCCTGGTGCTTCCCCATAGCTGTCAACTCTGGGTTCCCCATGGGTGCCTAACGGGTGATTGAGGGATCTGGGGGTGGCCATGGAGGATTATAGGAGTCTGTAAAGTTGCTCAGCAAGGCCTTTTGACCCTGAGGATATTTTGCTGCTGACTAAAAGTTAATTTCCCTTTCTTGAAAAATGGCCTCCAGAAAAAGCAAAATTTACTGAAGGGAGGTAGGGCAAAATGTCCAAAGCTACAATTGGGTAAAAAAAAAGGATACAAATAAGAAACTGACCCATGCATTGTTATAAAAATCCATAAGGAAAAGAACTGATCCAAATTGGTATATACAACTTCAAGAAAATAAAAATGAGAAAGGAAACAGTTTAACTGTCATAGAAAACCTTCTCAAGGAGTTAATAAATTGCTTTATGTTCTTGATAAAAGTTCACTGACTTTAGTGTGAACTTCTTTTATTAACATAAAGACAAACCATGGGGTCAAAATGTGTCTCGTGTTCTTAAACCCTGTGCTTCACTTGAATGGCTTCAGTGCTCGGGCAGTGGCCAGTGTTACCTCTGGAGACGGCCACCTCCCTGCGAGCTGGAGAGCCTGGCCGTCTTGCAGACACTTTAGCTTGGACCTGGGCAAGCGAGAAAGGTGATGGCTACATAGCCCAACCTCCCCCCACACCCGACTTCCTGGTGAGGTGTGTCAGGCCCGGCCCTGCCTTGGGAGCCACCAGTGTCCTCAGATGAGAGTCTAGACAGGGGAGCAGGTTCCATCAACCTGGATGCTTGCTCAAAGCTAATGCCACGTGGTCTGAGCTATGTGCCAGGGCTGGGGGAGGCCGGCGGTGGGCAGCTTAGATGAGCGCAGCCTGGGGGCAGCAGCCATATGTGCCTGTTGGTCCCTGGCATCAGCCACCTTCCTGCCTTCACCCTGTCCTCTCCCACCCCCAGCACATCCTCTACTGCATTGTGGACAGTGAGTGCAAGTCGCGGGATGTGCTCCAGAGTTACTTTGACCTCCTGGGGGAGCTGATGAAGTTTAATGTTGATGCATTCAAGAGATTTAATAAATACATCAACACGGATGCAAAGGTAAATCTAACCCATGGTTCCGTGGGGTTTGCCACATCATCCAGAAGTTATGTCGGAGCCCAGTCTTCAGGTGCTGGTTTTAAATTGGAGAGTCCTGGGGAGTCAGCGGGTAGTTGTCAACAAACATTCATTAGCCCTTGCTGTGTGCCGGGCACTGTGCTAGACCCTGGGTACACAGGGATGAAAGTCTCAGCCACTTGTGGGCAGGTGGGCTTGGAAATGGGTGTGATGCAGTGTGCTGGGTGCCATGATGAGCCCCAGAAGGGCAGGACTGGGCCCGGTGTGTTAGGCTCACAGGATGTGTGTGGCAGAAACCCAGCTCAGACAAGTTGAAGTAAAAATGACAGTAGACCCTTCAGTGCAGAAAACACTGGACATAGCGTCAGAAGATCTGAGTCGAGCTCTTTTGCGGGGACTGCTTATTAGGTGGTGAGGGCAGGGCACAGGTTTGTCCGAGCTTCAGTCTTCCTGTTGGAAACAGCTGGGCCAGGGTACGGGGATACCCCCTGCAGTGACTGCACGCCCTAGGCCTTGGCCGTCCTCAGCCAAGAACCCACCACCCCCGTCAGCCCAGCCTCCGCTCCAGTTCCAGGTGTTCCTGAAGCAGATCAACAGCTCGCTGGTGGACTCCAACATGCTGGTGCGCTGCGTCACTCTGTCACTGGACCGATTCGAAAACCAGGTGGACATGAAAGGTAAGAAAAAGCCGTAATGCCAAGGCGAATCGGTCCAGTGTGGCTGCGATTGGTGTCAAACGCCCAGCCTCTAGCAAGGAGACAGAAATGTCTGGAAGTAGCTGCACCAAACACCCATGTGGTTGGGGTCAAGGTGGTGGCTCTCAGGGTGATTTTCTTGGCTTTACTTTTATCATCCATGCTTTCTCTGATGAGCATGTGTGACATTTTAATGGCAGGTGAAAAAAAAAAAAAACACTGTTTTCAGCAAAATGCAAAAAACAACACACACCCTTCCTCTTCTGGCCTGGACTTGCCTGGGATAAGAGGCCCCCAGGTGGTGAAGCCTGGGGAGGGCCTCTGGGAGAGGCGGTCCCCGAACGTGACCGAAGGAAAAGGTGGAAGCAAACTCCTGGCAGGGGCTCTAGTGAGAATGCAGGCTTTAGCCGGGGTGGCAGAGCAGCTGGAGATTTGTTCCTGCTGCAGCCAACCTTTTCTGTAGTTGTTTTGACAGTGGGGGCTCCCAGCTTCAGAGTCAGAGCCCAAGGCGGGCTTGACTAGAAGCCTCGGTGTCAGGCCCTTGGGCCTGAGGCGCAGACCAACTTCCACACCTGCTGCTCACACCTCTGCCTCTCTGTCCCTAGTCGCAGAGGTCCTGTCCGAGTGCCGCCTGCTTGCCTACATATCCCAGGTGCCCACACAGATGTCCTTCCTCTTCCGCCTCATCAATATCATCCACGTGCAGACGCTGACCCAGGTGAGAGGCCCTGCAGACGTGCCACAGGGAAAGGGAGATTGGAAGCAGTTACCCTCATCCCAGAGCCACCTTCACCCTAGAAGTGTTGGGTTGGCCAAAAAGTTCGTTTGGTTAATGAATACATTCAATAAAGTTCTTGGTGAAAATGAAAAATGTGTCTTTTTACTTAAAACTGAACAAACTTTTGGGCCAACCCAATACATCTCCTGAGACCCATCCCTTGGTTCCTGGGAAACCCTCCCAGCTATTCTGAGGACTTTTCTCCAGTAAGGATCAGTGCCCCATTTTACAGAAGGGGCCTGGGGAGGGAGCAAGGCTCCAAGGTCACAGATGGTTTGGGGCAGAGTCAGGATGGGCACTGAGCTCTGACTCACAGTCCAGTGCTCTCCGAGCCCAGCCTCCCACGCAGACTTTGGGGTTGGACCTGATGTTGACTCCCACCTCCTTCAACAGGTAACTCTGCAGCTGACCCTTTTCCGAGCTTCACACCCCTCTTTTCTAAAATGGGGGTAATACTCAGAGGTTGTTCTGTCATTCCTTCATCTAACGTTTACTGAGGCGAGACCCTGGGCTGGGGATGCACAGTGAACGAAACAGTCTGAGACACTTCAGGAAGCTGCCTGTCTAGTGCTGAATGAAGCGGAGTAAGACACCTGCATCTGATGCGTGCACCCCACCGCCCCAGGGATCGAAGCTCCTGGGAAGAAGCGATGCCTGAGCTGATTCTGGAGGAAGAGTGGACTTTAACTAGACTGATGATACCGTTCCCACTGGGAACATCCCAGGGTGGGGATGGGGGCGTGGGGTGAGGGACCAGGAAGGCACTTGGGCCAGGATGCCAGCATCGTTCCTCTCCCCAGTCCTCTTGTCAGCTTTCTGCAGGGGCAGTGCAGTGCATGGCCCCTGGACTCCGCCAGGGACACCGTCCTCCCTGCCCAGTGCCCCCCCCCCCCCCCCCCCCCCCC